GTGAAATTACAATGACATACATTGGTGGATTAGATCGTAAGTAATTGATTTAAGCAACTGTTTTAAGTAATCATATATATGTCCATTTGATTTTTTAGCTGAACCCTTGCCRTTAATGGATTTATGTAGAAGGACTATCCGCCAAAAAGTTGGGCGCTCACATTTAGAGGAGCGTATACAAGAATTACAACTTCCTTTATCCATGAAGAAGTACCTACTGTACAAAAATCGAAGATAATACTTTAATATAATAACTTAAGATTTAATTTACATTTAAAGAAACTTCACTGTCAAATAGTATCGTTAAAGCTGCAAATGTTGCCACTATTACACGCGTAAGATCTCCAAAAATTCGGTCTATTTTCAATAACAAACGTATTAAGTGTAATTATAACATTCTTTACTTTTGACTACAGACTCTCGTATTAAAAATATTTTATTAGATAAGCCTAAAAAATATCTTGCTTCCCTGTAATAGGAAGCTTAGAATAGCATAGAAAAAAAGCTGTAGGCATGTTTACATTGTTTATTTGAATTATACAATAAATACACATAAGTATAAATTTTTCTTGCAGCAATCGTAATAATTGTAATAATTTATATAAATATGTCAATACCATTAATTTCTAAGATCTATCAGTGAAAGTGAGTAATGGTACTAGAAAGTGTAAAATCTTTATTGACGAAATCATATGTTTGTTTAATAATATAATTTCTGATACAGTAATATAGATATTTGCAAATTTTTCCATTTGTTTTTTATTTTATATCATTGTGTGCTTTTACATAATCAAAAAAATTAATAATATGTATATGTAAAATGCGTATAAACCATATAATTTCGATATAAATTCGTTTGAGTCTTCATTTTATAAAATCATTTAGTATCCAACTAGCTATGGGTGCATATGAGATTTCAATTACAACAGCAGTGTTGGACATGAGACAAAGTATTTATTCTGCGAAAATGTCGGGTAACCCTTGCAACAGCATCACGTTCAACTGTCATTTTCTACGAAGATATCTCGTCAAATGAAAAATTTTTTTATTCAAACACTTGAATTCGATAGGACAGTTTCTATGGCAGCTGTATGCTATAATGATCCGTATTGAACAATTGAAATAATTTTTCATGGGAGCACTTCAATCCGATTGTTCAGCAGACATGTGCTAAAGTGGTTATGCAAGGTGCGTTCTAAAGTAAACAGGACCTTTTGAATTTAGCGGCCCCTGGTGGCGCCACCTATATGTCGACTGTTACGTTAGAATCTGCTTCATGACATTTCATCGATTGGAAGTGAAGTTATTCAGGGGTGTCGTGGAATCCAAGACAGAATTGCTTAGCTGTCAGAATTGCAAACCAATCTGATTTTCAATGTTGTCACAAAATCTGTTTACTAATGTGACAAAACTTGCAAATGAATATATTTGGAAGCAGTCATATTAAAGTTTTGAATAAGTTCCGAATTAAAGGAATATTTTAAGAGATAACCTTTATCGAAGGAATAAAGACGCATTTTGTGTTAAATTACGGATATTTAAAGATATTAGATTTACAAAACGTAATAATGTAAATCTAATATCATTGTTGACGYCGTCCCCGCCCAATTTCTTTTGCCACGTCTGTATCGGCAGAGCAATCTTTTCTTTTCCTCTTATTCGAAGTTTTTTCGCAGTTTTAATTCGCACGCAACTAAACAATAACTAAAAAAGTTGCGCGTTCCCTTTTTCTTTGGCGACCGCTCACAGATCCAGACGTGATAAGTGTTTGTCCAATTTTTTATTTGTAAAATATATTTATTATAAGAAACCTTTTGTTTTTTATTTAACATTTGTGGAATAACTTGCGCCGACCGTTTCCCCACGGCCAACCACATCTRCGGAACGAACGAGCACCGTGCCCACCACCCGAATTATCATTGGTCCTTCGAGCCGGATAACATGTAACAAGTTGATTTTAATTAAAGTGAAAGTGCATAATTTACCCCATTTAACAACTCGCAAGTTACAACCAAACATATTTTGCATTTGTGCTCTGCAAGCTATAAGGCAATATATTGGTTAATTTGTGCATAAGTTCTGTACAAAACCCATTGTGCTGTGTGAATTGGAGACCAAAACTTATTTTTGGCACTCTAACCACACAAAACGTACAAGTCTGCAGGTAGTATTGTATTTCATTTAAGTACAACAATAAATACACCTGGAAAATGCACTGATTATTTCACTTTGCATATAAAACAAAAAAAAACCACACTGTTATCCGAATAACATTAYAAATTTCTTGGACGCACAAAATCGTCTGGAGCGTCAACAATCTCTCTCGGTTTGTGTTTTCTTGAGGTTAATTTGAGTCTAGTCGCTTAACTCTGCCTTTCCATATATTGCTCGAATAGCAATAAAGGCAAGCAGCAATAACGCAGCTGCAGTTTCGCGAGTGCAAAAAAACAAGAAAAAAGTACAAAGAAAAGCGAAGTGAAGTGAGCGACGACCAGAAATTCAATTTATTAATTTTTTTCTTTCGAAAATTCACGCTTCATAAAGAAACAACGTACCTGCCTATCATCAACTCAATTTTTAGTTTGTCTGTGAGTGCTTCTGTAATTTTTGAACTTTTTTGCAACATATTTGCAAATATTTTTAAATTTTAATTTCAAAGTTTTAGAACCGATTTTTTGCAACATTTGTGACATGACGCTATACTGGAGTTTGAGGAGTCTTTTACTCCAACAGCAAACAAYMAAAGTGCCTACTCTCTTGAAGTACAACAAACTGAACTGAAATCTCTGTGGACAGAGGTAAAGTCAGAATACAAGTTGTGTTTGCCAAAAGTGGATCCTTCCGACACAAGCTCAATAGACAACATTAAGCTTAAATATTCAAGCTGTTACCACGCTTATGTGTGTTGCGCGGCCTTGATGGGCGAACACATGCACAACCTCACGGCGTTCAACCAAAGCCCAACTTCAAATTCGACGGTGATTTAACAACTAAATTTATTGTTCAAGCTTCCGCATATCTCAAAAGAATCTGAGACCGAACTCAGAAATTTAAAGCGGGAGATTAATAGCTGCATTTCAGCTTTACAAATACATGGCATCAATGTAAATAGCTTCTTCTTCTTGATTGGCGTAGACACCGCTTACGCGATTATAGCCCAGTTAACAACAGCGCGCCAGTCGTTTCTTCTTTTCGCTATGTGGCGCCAA